TATATATATATATATATATATATATATATATATATATATAGACGGCATGTACAGTAGCATTTTTTCATTGTTATACCATTATAAACACTTGTTACAACTTGCTATATTGACACAGTGGAAGCAGTACAAATACGTTCCTCAAAAAAAATGAGTTTGTGGATAATTCACACATTCTGCCTTATATATTGCATAGAGAATTTTTAATGTCTGACGCGCTTGGAGTTCTTTAAGCATTTAAAATCCATCAAAGAGGAAATTGAGCTATAACAAAAGCTTGTTTATGAACATCATTTTCATAGCATACATTCTCTCTCAAAGTGTTTAAGTCAATTGCAGACAAACAAGTTACTTTATTAAGTGATGTGCAACTGGTATATTTTCTTTCCAATATAAATGTTCTCTGGGAAGAACAGTAACCGTTTCCCCAGTTACCGGCACACACGACAGATGCTAAACCCCACAGTAGGCCCCCCACTCCTCCAGTCATGGCTGTAAAATTGGTGACAACTCACAGCGTAACACCATTCATTTGTCAAAAGTCACATTCACAGGGAAGGATGTGTCAATATTAACCAGGCCAAAGCAATTTCTCCATCACGCTTACCCAGGTTCACAGCTAGTTTGTGGAAAAGACTGGCGAAACCCCACATTGCTGAAGACAGCTGTCGTCTCATGAGTGGGAGAGGGAAGGGCAAATCATATTACCAGCCCAGTTCTCTGCCTCTTATTTTCTGCAAGACTGAGTGGAGGCAGAATTGCTTATTTCATTACAATTAGGAGAAAATAGTGTGGTGTTGTCTGTGAGAGGTGGTGGAATACGGTGAGTGGCTGCTCAATTATTACTCTCCACACAGCTTCAGAAGATGCTCTGCTCTCTTAGGTCTTCATATTATCAAGGGAATGAATTAGGATATGGCTTTTCTTTTAGTTACTCTATCCAATTTTCTCGTTTCATTAGGCCGATGAAACCATAAGCAAAAAGTATTTTGCAAACAGGTAGCGATGGGGGTAAAAGAAGAAATTAAGAAAATTAGATGAGATGAGAAGTTCCTTTTCTGAAATTTTCAAATAGTTTAAATTAAGTGATATTTGAAATGGCTTTCTTTGACAATGACAATTTTTCTAATCGACAAATATCAAGGAATTTAATTGCAAACTCTAACATAGCACTACACCTGCTTTTAACAAGTCTTTCAACTATAATTTAACAAAAGTCATTATGAAATAAGTAGTAGCACATTATACTATACACACTTTGCCAAAACATAGTATTTAGGTTATTCTGAAAGACTGTTAGCTGACATATTGTTGCTTCAGTACATGTCAACTGATAATCTAGACAAGCAAGGCTGCCAATACTAATGCATGTATACAAAGCTGAGAATTAATCCAGTTTGAATGGATTGAGAAAATAATCTGTGGTGAATGACATTTTTAACAATCAACTCACAACACATAATGCAAAAAATATATATAATTAAGTTCTGTAAGAAATGTGCAGTTATTTTTAAATGTATATGTAGAATTATATACAGTGTGTGTGTGTGTGTTTAAATGTATATATATATATATAATTTAAATAGAAAACATTTCCTGATTATACTTAATATGCCAGAAAATATATACTGATTATGCAAAATATATTTCTTGTTATAGAAAGACATTTCAAATAATTGATGCCAGCTTTCAAGTTTGTAAGTGATTAGACTTTCTTGTGAGAAGTGGAAACTGATAAGCATCCAGTTGGAAAGACTGTTGCTCCCTTTTTGCCTAAGACTGTATCTGAATATCTGTGCTCCGCTTCCTGGATTCTAGTTCCTCCTTGAAAATAAAAAGGGGAGCTTAGCAACTAGATATGGGTGAAAAGCACAGATGCTAGAGTGATCAATTTGCTAAGTATGCACCCTGGGACTTTTTTTCTCTATTTTGAGGGATCTGTCGTAGAGGGGGACCAGAAGGAACGCCAGTCTGTCCTGTTCGTGTGGAAGGAGCTGAATTGCTTTCTCAAGTCCTTAGTAATTCCCTAAGGGCCACTTATAGCTACTCCTATGAGCCCAGTATTAGGAAGAACTCTCATGTGTTTTGGAGACCCGGGTTGTTTCTTAGTCTCTTGGGTAGCCCAAATGGGATTCTCCATCTCTTTTTAGAAGTAGCATTTTTTTTACTTTTTCAAGTTCACTTCATACAGAAACATCAATCTATCTATCTATCTATCTATCTATCTATCTATAATACACATTTTTAAAAAGGTATATGTGAACAAAAGTAGTAAAACACTTGCAGTGTAATTTGCCTGAGATCACATCAGAGAATTTTCCATACCCGTCTCCTCAGAATAATTGCTTTTTAATGAGAATGATTCATATTCATTTGATATCCTCATTCTTTTTATATTCAGTGTCACCTCCTATGAATCTGCAAGTTCGGGGTGTGTCAGAGAACACCATTGATCTGGAGTGGGAGGGGCCTGTGATCCTGACAGACTATCTCATCACTTACGCCCCCACAACCCCTGGTGGAGTACAACTAGAGATCAGAGTCCCAGGAAATGTTACCAACACCACCCTCAAAGGATTGGAGCCGGGTCTGGAGTACAACATCAATTTGTACGCCGTGATCGACAACATCATCAGTGCCCCAATGAACACCTTAGTCTCCACCTGTGAGTGCACTTCTCTCCTGAGAGCTCTTTTATTCCAAGAACGTCTGTGTTTTGGTCAGATAAGGCTATTTTTTTCTATTGAAATGTCTGAGGTGTTTTGCATAGATCTTGAATCTGACATTTTCATTGTAAGTGCATCATTGTTACCCAAGCATGACCCAGGTTTAAACGACCTGGATGAGAGATTACACACTCCTTCACAGTCCCATTTGCACACACACACACATACCTCATGTTAGTTCTTCAGAGGAACAACTGTCTGTCTTTGCCAACAGGATATGATTAGACACCCACCACCTGGTGAGTAGCAGTGCCAGATTGGTAAAATGCTAGAGGGCCTTTCGTATACAGTCACTGCCTGTCAGCCTTGCGCAAAATGCCTCAGCCTAGAATAGAACACATCATAACAAACATTCCATTATTTGTGAAAAGCCAGTTGGGTATTCTACAGACAATCATAAATCACCACTGTCTGGCCTTCTGTTTCTTACATTTTTGCAGGTAATTCAGAGATAATAAAGACAATTGGAACTTAATGAATTTGAAAGAAATTGCTATTTGCATGTGGCATCTGGCAGGCATCGAGAGCTTGCTTAGACTTCTGAGATATTCAACTAGTGAAACCATAATATCTGTAATCTAACAAAGATGAGACTTTTTGAACATTATTGCCCATTTTCTGCAATTGAAGCATATGCTTGCAATAGCTAAAATCCTGTGCAGTTAGCAACAAGAAAATATATTGCAAGGAAGGAATTAATAGAGAGAGAAAGCAAGGAAGGAAAGAAAGAGAAAATAGATTGATACAGTAAAAACAGTAAGGCTGGGTGGTATGACGGTATATACAGTATATCATTAACACGGTATAAAGTGTCTATCGTTAAAGATTTTGCCATAGTTTATTTCCTTGGCATGCAAATATATCTGCTTAGCACAGTACTACTTAAAAATTATATACACCTAGAGATATAAAAAATACATGTATGAATTAAAAAATAAAGAGTGTGAAGTGCTAGATGTTAAATAGAGATATTAAGCGCAGTATGCATTGAACACACTGAAGCGCAAACACAAAAATCACCTCTCTCAGACAGCATGCAATCGCAAATTCTGATTTTTTGTGTCTTATTGCGCTTGAATGGTCAGATACATGCATAATTATATCAAAATGTCCGTCGTGTTGAGTACTCATGTAAACACAGTCGGTTATGTGTTCAATAAACGTAAACAGTTGGGTGAAAACCGGTTTCAGTATACTGGATACGTGCAGTCAGTCTTAAAGGGACAGCAGCCTAATTTATCTTCTACTGTCTGTATCATTAATGTTAATCAAACAACAAAAGACAAAAATAAAATCATTCACTGCTCTTGACTGAATCACTTTTGGATCTTTAATAAGAATCAATTCATATTTGATTCAAACACTGAAGACTATGCAGTGTTTTAATTTCTGTAGTATTACTACATATAAACTATAGCTGAAAAATGTAAGTTTATTTAATAAATTTTTTGCTCTATTGTGTTTTTAATAAAATGATTAATCTGACTACTGTCAGATTTTATTTAGTAATACTTATTGTATGACAGTACATTATCACTTTCTTACAAACCTTTAAATGTCATCATATACATGGAAGAAGCAGAACACTCACAGCAGAGATAGCGTTTTATTACTGTTTCCATGATATTATTTTAAAATCCTCTGGAGGCTCTTAAAATTGTTGACACTGAAAAGGCTGGAGGTTCACTTGTGTGTACTGTGAAATGACTGTAAAGCTATTTCCCGACTTCTATTCTTTGGGTTTCCCGACTGCATCCTTTATACAATAAATGTAAACTATTTAAGCATTGCATGTTTAAAATATCTGGGAAAAATAACATAATCCTGAATATGTCTGCAAAGTGAACCTCTCTGTATCCACTGCTCTCTTTTTACAGAGCTAAAAGCAGAGACTAAAGATCCACCTTGGCTGAGAAAAATGTTGATTTATTGAACACACACAAGACGGAGGCCAATAATGCATCAATCTGTACCTTTTAGATCTCTCGAATCCAGACGGTTTACTCTTCAAATCCATCATGGAGACGTCCGTGGAGGTTCAGTGGCAACCCTTAGACTACTTGTTTGATGGTTGGGAAATAAGCTTCATTCCCAAGGTAAGGCTTTCCTTAGAATGTCACACTTCATTTGATTCTGCCCCTGCTGTAGCTTCTGGCATAACAACACTAAGGTTCTGGAATCTTGTAGCATTTGTGGACTTCAACATCTGCCACATTGTATTTCGACAACAGTAAACAAGAAAACTGCAATGTAAGGTTTTGACAGATATCTGTGCACAGCTGATAAATTAATGCTTTTTGAAGCCAAAGATTATTCAGTTTCTGACAGGTGCCTCTCAGCATGATAAATGTCAATCTGTCCTTGTTTGAAAGAGAATTATTTTGCATCATGGCAGAAACACAATACATCCAGGCAGAGATGTTCTCACTAATCCCCTTTCAAATGTTCCATCTGGAGAAAGGACAAAACATTTTCAGCATGTGCATTCTGCACCCTCACAGGAAGAAGAAAAACGTCCAGCTCCTGCATGCTAACAAAATGTGGAGCTTGTGCTCGGTGCCTCAATAAGAAATAGCTGTGGGAGACATCGCCGTATGCAAAACAGCATGTCTCCTGTGCAACATACCTGTCATTTCACATCGAGGTGAAACATCTCTCCCTATGTATAATAACAAATATGCATCAGAGCCCCTGAGGCATTATTTCATTTGGTTGTAGCATTACTATTAAGACCCAGCCATTGAATCTGTAAACAGTGTTTCCCTCCAACAAAAGACATATCAGAGGTATGCTTGTGTGTAATGGAAACCGGTAAAGTGGGGATTATGGTTTACTTAAATGGTTCACACAAAGGATTTCCTTTAGCCAGGAGATGATTTGGCGAATCTATTTGTAAACAGTTTTGAGAGCTCAGTCGGGTAATAACCACACGTTTTTAGGACCCCTTGAAGAGTGCAGTATTCTGTCCTGTGCTGGGAAGTCTAGGTCTCATGCCACTGTCTTAGCTTTCAGCAAAATCCATAGCTTATGCCCTGGCAAAGTGAGTTCATGAGTTTCATAAATCCCTCATTTTTTTGGACTAAAAGAAGAAAATACACTGGAAACAAAGTCAAAAGCCTCTTTCGAGGGAATAGGAAGTTGAATACAAAGAAGCCGACGGTTGAGGGTGGGGGGATCATGGTGCACTTCAATCTTCCATCGGCGAGAGGGTCTGCTAAGAGTACCGTGCATGAGAGCCAACTCTGGTACGCCACTAGGGAAATCATATTAGAAGTGCAAGTCATATCCTCTGTGGATTTAATCCTACAAAGCGTAAGAGCCTGATTTTCCACAATATCGTAATGGATGTGAGGGCAGGGACAAGTGTGTGTTCACTGAGTCAATGGCAAAAAACAAAAGGAAAGAGGCTTTTTAGAACAGTCACATCTTCTGAAACCCTCGCACACTTTGATATTGTTTGATTTCATAAGCGTTCCAGGGGAGGTTAGCTGATGTCTTGTGGGGTGCGATGCATCAAACTCACAAAGTGCTCTGCTAAGAGAGTTGGGGAAAAAAATAAGGCTTGATTCAATACATCAAACATCTGGCGAAATGTATCTACACTGAAATTCCAGCAGCTTCTTTGTTTACACAGCCGACTGCCTCCTGAAAACAATCTCTGTCGATTCGAGCAGTATACTGTTTATTCCTGCATGCCTGCCTGCACTCTGATGCCAGAATTGTGAAATGTGATATTTTTGTATGTGTTTGTGTCTTGTGCACGTCAAAGGACAATGATGGAGGGATGACAGCACAACTACCCAGTACCATCACGTTGTTCCACCAAACAGGGCTGCGGCCTGGGGAAGAATACACTGTCAACCTTGTGGCCTTGAAAGACCAAGGAAGGAGCCAGCCTGTTACTGCAACCGTTATCACATGTACGCCTCTCACTCATTTACATTACATTTGATTTACAGTCTGCAATTACAGTCTGCATTTGGCAGACTTTTATTCAAAGTCAAGTAATACCCTTAGTGTATGTGTGTTCCCTGGGAATCAAATCCATGACCTTGGCATTGTTAGCGCCATGCTCTACCAGCCGATCTATAGGAACACCCACGCCTCGCTGTTTCATTCTCCGATAACTCAATCATGTTTTTCTTGAACTTGCTCTATATATCTTTGATTTTTAATGACCTACATAGAGTGGTTTGTGCGTCCCAATACTTGCATTTTCTCATTACCCCTACAATGTCAGTATATTGCACCTTTAGTCAATAAGATCTGTGTAAGATTCTATAGTGCAACTTAAGCTTTTTGTTCAGTAATTGTTTCTGAGGAACTTGAATACCATTTGCATGGCTCCATGATAATAAAACTAATGCATTCTTATAGTAATTAATTATTTAGGAATGAGGTCTGTCATCTGTCATGAAATGTACCACCATGTTCCATCATAACATAAAAAGTAATACTAGACACCTCTTGTCCACTTTACTGATACATTACTGATAAAATTTCCCTTTAATATATATTTTTTTTGCCTATTTGCAAATGCTTCTAATTATTATATTATATTATGTCAATTGATTAAAAAATAACTAATTAATTACACATTTTTATGAAATTAATTGTGATTAATCATGATTAATCCCACCTAACATGAAAGTTTTTAAATATACTTTTATATTGCAATAATTTCACATTCAGTCTTCAAATTAATATAGAAACAACATAAAAAAAACAGTATATTTTTTATATTTGTTTAGTGGCATCTTTTTTATGTCTGAAGGTGAGTATCACTGATACCAATACTACTGATGTCTCTAGGAAATAGTTTTTCCCCCCTAATATTTAACCATTGACTATAGCCATTTAACTTTACAGTAGTAGAGGGAGACAGTGCTGGGCTGCTCCAGGACAATTCTGAAAACCACTGCATTTCAGAGACATGTTCTTAAACCTGACTCATATATAACAAATACTTATATACATGCACAATTTTAAGGCTAAATAAATGCAAGGACTAAATAAACGCAATTCTTGTTAAGAAAAAAGAGACAGAAGCAGCACTTGTGAGTGGGGAACCCTAGCTCCGCCCCTGCGTTAATTGCGTTAAATATTTTTAACACCGTTAAACTGAAAAAATGTATCGCATGTGTTAACATGCTAATTTTGACAGCACTAATTATATTATATAATATTATGATGCCTTATTTAGTATCAGCCATGACTGAATTAACTATGCTCAAGTTTTGTCATAGTGTGTAGATGCTCTTAGTGTGGAATGGCAGAACAGGATGTTTCATCATTGATGGAGACATAAAAGTTTGCAAGGCAAACAAATGCTCCTTGGGCGGAGTGCAGGGAGATCTAGTTTACCGTTGCTTTCTGTGTGCTGAGAAGATGAAAGCGCAAACAATTTGAAGTGTTTTTCCCTTCAGGTTACTCAGCCAGCTGAGTCACTAGTGTCTCTTTTGTAGATGGAGCTGACAAGTTGGAAGTGGCTTGAGCAGTGATTTCCTCCACCCATCTACCATGTCCTGTCGTTTTTCCCCTGTCCTTGGTGCTGAAATCAGTAGTGCAGCAGTGAGGCTGAACAGAGGGCTCACCTTCAAACTATACTACGAACACAGTCATTTTACTGTTAGTCTGCTGACAGTGTGTTGTCACAACGAAACGCAATTGTAAATGTGTCTGACAAGACATGCAGAAAAACATACAGCCAGGGATATAGTGCACTCTCTAAGGAAGGTATGTAAACAGACCTTTCAAATGACGTGTGAGAGGGGCCGGGCTGGGCTGGGCTGGGCTGGGAAGGCATAAACTGCAAGGAGGTGTCACATTGCTTCAGCTAATGGAAAATGTCACTATGATGAATGGGTGAGTCTGCCAGCAATTATGCACTTAATGTAAACTTCACCCAAGAATTCTTCTTCTGTCACTTACAGACAGGAGGATTAGATTCAATTGAACTTTTCCTGGACAATTGAAATTGCATGTCTGCTGTGAAAACGCCATTAATTTCTACGGGCCTTACTGTCTAGCATAATTAAAGAGGCATTAATTATGCATGCAAGTCCATTAATATTCCACGCGTCCACTGCAGATACCTTATTGGATAAAGAAAGACAAATTTGATGTCACTTAATTATTTATGTGTGCAAAGATTTATCTATCCCCGGAGAAAGCCTGGGAAGACGAGTTTTCGCTAAGCGTGCGCTCGGTACCTCATGAGTTTGCTTCACAGTAATTATGCTTAAGCGCTAAAATACAAAATTTTGGGGGAAAAAATAAACAGTAGTCTACTGCCTGGTCTCTGGTGTGCTTAGACTTCAAAATGAGACTGTGCTGGTGTGCCTAGAATAAAACCAAGAAATCACCCTTGTGGATTGAATAGGCTGTGTAGAGAACTTAAAGTAAATATTCCCATGAACAGGGTGACATAATTTCCTCATACTTGGGGTTCCTCCTAAACCCTCGTGTTTGATTAACGGGTCACATTATGTAGTTGTAATACGCTTTAGGGAGTAAAAATGGCATCATGTGCAGTATATGTTGTAGGCTCATCTTTTTGAAAGGTAAACGTACGATTCAGCGCAGTCTCATCTGGTCCAATTAGTAGCGTTTTGCATATCACAGCAGAATGAGGTCAAGGTTGGAGATGAGCTGAACTGTTGAGGTCAAAAGTTCCAGAGATGTTCATCTTCCTTCACAATACCTGTTTCTGAGGCAGATGGTCATGTTGCCCTATATAAAGAAGCAGGTTAATTATTCACACAGCCATTATTAAAAGAGCCTTTTGGAGGCTCAGCATGGCCACTTGATTCAGTCGCTTGAGTGCGGGTTTGCAGTGGGACTGCCTGCTGTCAATATCTGGTGAATATTACTGACACTTTCTCATGCACTGTACTTGAAAGCAGGGATAACTTAGGTGAAGTGTGTAGTTTTCAATATTAACATATATTTCCAGTTTAATATGACTTCAGGTAAACACTGTGGCTCTCAGTTTTCAAACATTGTTTGGTTTAAGTGGTTCAACTTCTGGCTTAACCACTGGTATTTGTCACAAGATTCAGTGTTTGGCTGCTTAGCATGATCTAGTTAGCTGTAATACCATAAAAACATCTTGCTCAATTGACAGCCATTCCATGTATTCAGAGAATAGTTTTTTTTTTTTTTTTCAAGAAACATATACGTCATCATACTTTCAATAGGTCATAGTAAGTTCTGCCAAGCTGAACTGAGCAGCTGTAGATGGAGGCTGAGCAGAAGAGGCAGTTTTTCAAAACCCTAAAGCTGATATTTTTGCAATTTCCTGTGGTACTTTTTGTGTCACATAAACTACACATCTCACCTTTTAAATCTCAGACATAGTCACAGTTCACTATATTTAAAGTTCAAGCTTAACTTGCAAATTCAGCGTTATCAGGTTCTGTACATTCCGCTTCTTCATTTTTAAATAAGTTTTGCCACCACTTTTTGACCCTGCACTGTTACCTTGGTGAAATTCTAATGATACAGTAGACACAAAGTCTGTACTGTAGCTTAGGGCTATGTTTTTCTGTGGAAAAATACACTTCAAGCAAATTCACATATTTGCTAATTTGTATTTTATCTTCATTTGTATTTAATGGAACAAAAAGGGATGTTTTATGTTCATCATTGATCATTTAATCATCCAGACTGTCATGTTGTGTGTTTTTTTTTTTTTTTTTTTTTTAAAGATGTTAAACTCAAATCATCAAATAAACACCCTTAGGCACAAATTACTCAAAACAAAACTTCTTATATCACTGTTACCATGTTAGAGAAATGTCTATATGATTTGATTCTATATTATTAACTCCTATATTTAGGGTTTTAAACCTTTACAGAGCCAAGGACCTTCACCATTTTTTCACTTTATAACTGCATTTATATTTAGATTATATCATGCTGATCAGATTTTTTTAAATTGTTTAAAATGTCAGAATTTAAAAGAAAATTCAGTATGTTTTCTATATCTTCTCCAAGCACCTGGAGTGCTTGTATGGACACCCAGGGTCCTCGGACTTATGGTTGAAAACCCTTCTAGCATATTGAGAAGCTGACTTTTCTTATATCAGTGATGTTGTCTTGTGTTTTTTTCCATCAGTGATCGATGGGCCAACACAGCTTATTGTACGAGATGTCTCAGACACGGTTGCCTTTGTGGAGTGGAGCCCACCCAAGGCTAAAGTGGACCAGATTATATTGCGGTATGGGCTGGTAGGGGTGGATGGACCAAAGACCACCTTTCGCCTGCAGTCTACTCTGAGCCAGTACTCCCTCCAAGTCCTGAGGCCTGGATCCACATATGAAGTATCAGTCAGTGGAGTCCAGAATGGCACTGAGAGTGGAGCCATTTCCACAGAGTTTACCACAGGTGAAAGAAAGCAGTTCTGACTGTGTACATTATTTTTCACTATTTACTTTTGATTTTAGTTTTCACATTCTTTATTTTAGCTATACTAACATCTGTATTTCAAGTGGAGTAGGTCTGCTTCATTTATATAAACATTTATATTTGATTCCAGAAATGCAGCTTGATAATCCAGCTTTCTGTGATCCATTTAAATTCTCCTTTATTTCATAGTACTGAAATATTCTAGACAATTTCTATACAATATACAATATCTGACATAACCAAATTTCAGATATTATGATATATACGATATAGAACCAATACTTGGTAAAAAAAAAAAGTTTTATTCATAATAAAATTGTTTTTTTTTTTAATTCCATTTAAAATTCTTAACATTTTCAATAAAATTCAAATTTAAAATAAAAAATGCTTTGAAATTGTTTTATGTAAACAACTGTTGCTTCAAAATTGAAAGATTAAAAAGCTTTAAAATGTTTCTATTTATAATAAAACAGCATACCATCACACATTCACATTAATCCTAACATTTTAAATATATAAATATATCATGTATGTATATTGCTTTGTCACTATAATGGTTTAAGGTTTTCATTTATTTTTATTGCTTTGTCACTACGAGTTGAGGTCTATGTTAAGTACATTATAATGGCATTTATTTTCTCCAAGATTTGTGATTTGTATGCGTAATCTTTTTGGTATTCTTAGGTATTCACACATAAAGTTTGTATATGACTTCATGGCCAACTTTAAGACCCTGAATCCTCAGTCTAGGTTCACTGTCTACAACTACTCTTTCAAATTTGCAGGCATACAGACTTTTTTTCATTATTTAACAGCTTTTATGCAAGTAAGCAACATTTCTGATTGTATTGAAGTATTGAAGTCTCAGTCTCTCATTGTTTTTCATCTCAATATGAACTAATTGTGTGGGCCTACACAAATCTATATTTAGCAAAAATGCATACTTATTTAGTGACAGTAAAATGCATTGCTTATGTGCATAGCGTATTGCTCATTTTTAAAATCACTGTCTATCTTTTACTAATTTTCTTTCTCTCCTTTTTAGATTTACTGCCTGGCACAGAGTATGGCATAGGAATTTCAGCAGTTCTAGGTGCCAACCAAAGCACCCCAGCTACGATGAATGCCAGAACGGGTAAGGGATAAGATTATAGGCCTGCCGTTGACAGATCACAGTGAAATAAATTTATTTTCAATTGCATGGAGTTTGTATTCCTGCTGCCAACTTGTGCAAATCTGTTTTTGCCAGCAGAACTGATATATGATGTTTGCAATGGAATAAAAACATGCTGAAGGTTTACTGAACCATACACCTTATTATTCCCATTACAAACCTTGAAACAGCCGCAGTATACTCTGATCTTTAGGTCTGGATGTCCCCTTGGATTTGGCTGTCACAGCCTCCACAGATAATACCATCACCCTGTTGTGGGGCACAGTGCAGGGGCCTATTGATCACTATAGGGTGACCTACACTTCCTCCACTGGAGCCACAACTGAGCTGACGGTGCCCAAGGATGTCACCACCACCACACTGACAGGTCTAGAGCCAGGCACTGAGTACACCATTACAGTTGCAGCACAGAGAGGCAGACAGAAGAGCACTGCAGCCACTATTGATGCCTTTACAGGTAATTTGATCTTTTGGGAAATCAAGTACAGGAATCACTGTTGAGTATCCAAAGCATTGCCTCGTCTCCGCCTCGTGACATGTCATGTCAGTTTTGGCCAGAAATATCATTAATCTCTCCGATAATTGCATGAGGATTCAGAATGGTGTGGATGTAATGGTTCCTGTAGCTTTTTTTCCAGCAGGGTCATTTGTAGCCACTTTTAATCATTTTTCATCAAAATCCAGCCGTCCATCTGTCATTTACTTCAGGGGTTCCCAACATTTTTTTTTTCATCACAGTGAATGTATTTAATGATTTTGCATATCTTCCTTATGCATTTTTTCAACATTTTGTCTTTATCACTCGCATTTATATCTCTATTATAGCATTATCCACTTTACTGCATTAATTTTCCATGCTTTCTACCTAGTGATAAGATCATGTAACTGATTGATAGCCCTAAAAAATGTATGGAATTAAAATGATCAAATAGAACATTTTTATAAGGATGCCAATCAATTGCATAATGACATAATAAATTGCAGATAATATAACAATGTTTCCTAAAAAAAAATAAAGATAAATCAGAAGACATTATTGTGGTAGATGAGTAAATTATTGTACAGACAAAAAAATTTTTTTTCTCCTCATCATTGAACATAAGTCACAATCTGCAACCATAATCCATTTTGTAATTGATTTTTGCCAACACATTTGAGGTTAAATTTTAGTGCTGTGTGTATATATATATATACTGTGTATATACTGTTTTTTTATTGTTTTATATAGACCCTCAATTTCCACACAGGGAAAAGATAAACCTCACAAGAAGCGGTCATGGAAGTGGTCAAGCAAGCAGTCAGGGAAGGGGTTATGGTCAATCAAGCGGTCAGGGAAGTGGTCAAGGAAATGGTCAGGGAAGCAGTTATGGTCAGGGAAGTGGTCAAGCAAGTCAGGGAAGCAGTTATGGTCAGGGAAACGGTGACCAGGAAGTGACTCTTTCCTGTCCTCTGACACAGCCAACCATAGCCCCAACCACACCTGCTGTCCGTGACCCAACTGACATGCAACAGATGCTTGACCACTTCTCTGACCACTTCCTTGATGGCTTGCCTGACCGCTTACTTGACCACTTCCCTGACCACTTCCTTGACGGCTTGCATGATCGTTTGCTTGACCACTTCCTTGACCATTTCCCTGACCATAACTGCTTCCCTGACTGCTTGCTTGACCACTTCCCTGACCATAACTGTTTCCCTGACCATTTCCTTGACCACTTCCCTGACCGCTTGATTGACCATAACCGCTTCCCTGACTGCTTGCTTGACCACTTCCATGACCGCTTCCCTGACCATTTCCTTGACGGCTTGCCTGACTGCTTGCCTGACTATATGCTTGACCACTTCCTTGACCATTTCCCTGACCATTTCCCTGGCCATAACCGCTTCCCCGACTGCTTGCTTGACCACTTCCCTGACCGCTTCCCTGGCCATAGCCGCTTAAAAATAAGTTGTGCGACCTTTGCTTTCTACTGTATTCTCTTTCTGGTTTCATTCTGCACTCAGTCCAGCTGTTTTTAAATCCAAGTGTGCATCCTGTGAGAATGGCTCTGTCTGCTCTCAGTAATGTGGTTAGGCAAGGCACTAGTAGTAGTATGAAAATGGTACTTCAATTCTTGAATTGCTCCAGTAGTGAAAACAAAAACTTTTTATAGGATTTACATAAGGGTTAGGTCATGATTAATTCTGTATTTTTTTTTATTCCATTATTTTTTATATATATAATTAATGCACTAAATTAATGCATTAAATTAACAGCTAGAATTTTATTGAATTTAAATTAACATTTCTTCCACAAACTTTCTAGAACCCCTTGCAGTTATGGGCCCCTGGGGGTTTGAGAATGCTCCACTACATTATTTAATTATTTAATTATTCAATTTATTTATTTATTTTTTACATTAATCAAAGTAATAACTCTTCAGACTTGAACTTCCTTATGCATTCCGTGTTGGTTTTTATCACTCACTTGCTTTGGCATGGCACATCAACACATTTATATCTACAGTATCAAGATTTTATCATATTTCATCATAATTTTTCACTTTTCTTTATTCATTTTCTATCATTGGCTTGATATCTACTGACTGGCTGCATCTCTTCTGCAAACTTCATCCAATCATCTCATTATTCTTCATTTTCGTACTCTTCTTTCTTCCTTCCTGTGAGGATGTGCCAATCAACTAAAAGATCTTTAATCACAGGAGCCAGCATTTCGTAATATAGTTGTTGTCATTCAATTTCAGGGTTCCGCCCTATCACACAGCTCTTCTTCTCTGATGTCACTTCTGATTCATTGACTGTGGCATGGAGTGCACCGGCACCGCCTGCTGACGCATTCATCTTGAACTACAATGCTCAGGACTCCAGTGATGATTCTGAGATTGCTCTAGACGGGTCCAAAACCAGAATCACCCTCACTGGTCTCCTGCCCTCCAGGCGGTACACTGTTACCTTGGTTACCATGCATGGCAATGTGACCTCAAAGCCAATTATTGGCTCAGTCACAACAGGTATTAATACTAATGAATATTATGTCTGAGGTTGTTAAGTGTGCTTATTTAATATTTGAAAATAGGGGTTTCTCAGGGTTGATTTTACATATTTTTTCCCCAAACTAAGGCCAGTGCACTCAAAAACAATTAACACTTTTCCTAAACAGACTGTACGTTTTTCTTGATCTCATGCAAATTGCATGTATCATTTTCATGATTCATTTCAGTTTGCTTTCAAAAACAGTTCGCATGGAGAAACTAAAGTAATGCTATATTCATGACGTGCTGTCAAATAGCATCATATTAATACCTGCTGGGTTTGTAATGCACACAGCACAGGAAGTGCAATTTATGAAATTGCTCACACAACTATCATGACTTTGCTATTTATATAGAGACATCTGTGATGGTGGACTATCTATTCTCCATTCGCCTATTCTCCATTTCTGAATCCACTTGTTGAGTTCATCTCTTTCAAGATATGAAAAGTATTCAACCGCAGCCTTATGACAAAGTAACTTTTCTCCAAGCAATAAAAGAGACCTGCAGAGCTATTTGTGCCATTCATGGATTCAGCATTCACACTGTTCTTTCCTTAAGTCCACCACTTGAAAAACAAATATTGTTTGATATGAATAAAATTCGATGGCTTAAAAGAAATGAGAGGCTTAGTAAATATGCAAATTTATAGAAATTCCAAGAAGAATAACGATCTTCATTGAAAATAAAAATTATACTTCACACTGAAGTGCTGAAAATAATGCAAATATTACTGAAAATGAACCATTTTACTAAATTAAGAGTCTGAGTGGTTGTGTTAATTCTTTTGAGAGCATTGGCTTTAGTTTGGGAATTCGATTAAGGAAATCATAAAACAAGTTAACGTGCATTTTTCCTAGGGAACACTTTAAAGGACTAGTTTATTCAAAAATGACAATCATTTACTCACCCTCAAGTTGTTCCAAACATGTATAAAAGTAAGATATTTTGAAGAATGTTGGTAGCCAAACTGTTAACGGTAGCCATTGACTTCCAAACGGAAAAAACACTATGGAAGTCAATGGCTAACGTTAACAGAAGTGCAGGGTGATTAAATTATGACAGAATATTAATTTTTGTTCCTTAAAGGTTTTTGCGTTTGTGTCAGTCATTTAAAAGTCATTTGTGACCCTGCTCAAAACAGGATCTCGTCTATACCTGCAGGATTTTCTCATTATGATTCCTGCACACAGCTGCACAGCAGATTTTTCAACCTTTTGTGTCTTAATTAATTCAACGATATGTAATCCTCCCCTAATTACCTCTCTCTGAATGTGGAGGTGTCAAGAATTATTCAGCTGTTCTGTCAGTGAACTGATATTTGCAGTTGCCAAATAGATATTGTCTCGGAGCCATTTCTAAACATAGAAATGAACTCTGCAGCAGGCTACCTGCACAGCAGCTTGATTAGTTAAATAAAACATGTTTAAATTTTGACTTTGCTTCATATTATTATTATTATTATTATTATGACATGATTTGTGCATGAACACTTTAAGTACTTGCACATGTTGTCGTCTAATGTTTTATAAAGCCTGTTAGCTTAGAAATGTGTTTAGTACATTTTCAGTATGTTCTTGCTTTAGTTAGAAACCATATTATTTTCACACATTAACGCTTCTTTACATTACCATAAGTGAAAAAAAGGTCACCGTATGCTCAACAATAAGAACCAAAATAAATGCAGATGGAACGGGCTGAAAAAGAAGTTGTTCTTGGTGCCCTTTAAACAGTCTGAAAATATATTTATTGACTGCTCTACTGAGTGGAAAATAAATTAAGATATGCATACATGAATAATCAACTCATTTAATATATGATGTAATATTTTACCCTGAAAGCATTTAAATGAAGTTGACAACCTGTTTATGAATCGCCACCCATAGTTTATGAATTGAATGCATTAGTCTAATGAATATGGGGAGATGTGAATGGCTTTTCACTCGTTTTAAGGACTGGCTACTTCAATAATGGCAAGAGTAAATCAGTTTATTTCCCTCTCAGTTGTCAGAATGCTCCAGAACCACTGTTAGTCTGTTTAACTGTTTTCAGAGGCAGTGTAACCTAAGAGCTATTGGGACAGATAAACAAATCATGAAAGAGTCCCTGCTGGACAGCAACAGACAATAACAATGCAAATGTCCTTGTCAAGAGTGTCTTGTGTCCAGCATACTCATACTCCTCCTCTCCGGGCCTAAACACAAATAGGAAATAACAGTGCAGTGGAGACTATAATAATAATAATAATCAATTGTATAGTGTAATTAATATAATATTTTAATCAATATTACAATATATTTGGGTGGCCTTATGGGGGCCGACATTGGGATCTCATGATGACCAACTGAATATTACTCATTTTTATCTTGGTAGCCTCTTGTTATTGGATATTTTTACTTCAGGAATAAGTTAATCATGTCTAACTGTAAATAGTGCAATTCTACAATCAGTGCAACATTATTGAGTGCAGTCCTTCACTTCCGTTCAAAAGTTGGTATGATTATTAATGTTTTTACAGTAAGTCTCTGTGTCTTACCAATTTATGTATTGTAAAATGTAATTTATTCCTGTGCTGGAAAAGCTGAATTTTCAGCAGCCATTACTTCAGTCTTCAGTGTCACATGATCCTTCAGAAATCATTGTAATATGCTGATTTGGTGCTCAAGAAACAAATTGTGCTGCTTAATATTTTTTTTCATAATACAGGAATGGACCCCCCCAGAGATATGACTGTGCAGTACGTCACAGAGGAATCTGTAACCATTTCATGGATTCAACCATACGCATCCTTTGATTACTACAAAATGTCTTACCAATCACCAAAAGGTACTTTCTCTGCCTTATATTTAAATCATGTCTAATTTGAACAAATTAGAAAAATAAGTCAGCATTATTATTTGTCATTTGTCATGTAATTGGCTCACAGGTAGGATGGACAATGTGGTGATTGACAATGATGTCACCAACTACACCTTAACCAGCCTCCATCCAGCAACGGAGTATGAAATCAAGCTGAATGCAGTGAGAGGAAGCCAAGAGAGCAAGGTCATCACCACTACTGTCTTCACAGGTATGTCTGTTCTCCGTCAATTACTAGGAGACATACTAATCATATACATTCAATCATGTACATTCTGCAGACTGGTATTCTGATTTACCCTAGGAAATGTCTTTTAGTATTTCGTGAAGGATGTGCTCTCATAGCCTCGTTCATCACAGAACTTTGATTTGATAGAAATATGGATGACAGTCTGAGGAATGATGCACATCATTTACCATGTGATGAGTACCATCTCTCACCCTGTGCGTTCCGCCCGTCCTCTGGGAGGCTGCCAGCCATCTCGCCGAAGTGAAATGAAATTTTACTAATGGAATCAGTGATCAGCAGAGATGCTCACCTGCCATCTTATTTGAACAGCACCACACGACGGCGACAGGCAGCTAGTACTATGGATTGTGTCTCATTCACTAATTGTGGGCAAGTGCTCATACTTACATGCACAGACAAGAAAATGTGTGCTCACAGAAAATGTCCATCAGATGCACAAAATGTTGTGCATAAAGTCTCTACCCTGTTGATTAATGCTGTTTATTATTCTAATGAGGTTTATTCTAAGTAGTGTACAAGTTTTAATGCATTTTAGTGTACTCGAGTGTAAAATATATATATATATTTTTTTTTTTTTGTGAATAATATGTAGAATGTTTTTATATGTTTTTATCTGTAAAATATATTTTAGTATATGTAATTATAATCATCTATATTATGTTATATATCTACATATAAAATTAGTTAATATTAATAATTATCAATGCATTTTATTTTTTTGAATTAATAATATAATTTTTTTTATTATTATTATTAAAAATAAATATGATAAAATACATAAAATACAAATAAAACAATATTTAATATAAAAAAAAATCACACAAATAAGCACATATGCAGTTAGTGAATGAGACCCAGTATTACTAAAGCCAAGTGAACCTGTTCTCAGTGTATTGCTTTAATGTTAAAAGCTTGTCTTCAGAATAGAATAGTGCTTTAGATTTAATATAGGAATATTTAACTTGCGTCTCAATAGACAAATTTTACAGAACAGTCTTTGTTCCAGCTGTGCAGTATATCACTGAAATAATTAGTCTATCTCGAGCCTAGGAAGTGAACTAATTAGTCATATCATTTGATGTAGTACAATAAAACAAAACAGATGCTGGCCTTTGCTTAAACTGCTGACTGCTTAACTAGGCAGGAAGTGTTTGCCTATACATCAAAACAGAGCTACACTCCCCATCGCAGCTTAAAACCTGACAGTTTTGTTCAAAGCTAATAAAAATATGACAAGCAAACAATCTCAAGCTGCCCGTGTTGACAGAAATCTTGCCAATGCTGTAACAATGCAAAGTGACAAGCGGCTCTTTTAAAGGTCTCCTATTATGCTTTTACACTTTTTTTTAAACTTTAGTTAGTCTGTAATGTTGCTGTTTGAGCATAAAAAATATCTGCAAAATTACAAAGCTCAAAAGTCCACTTCAAACGGAGATATTTTATTTTTACTTTTCAAAAACTACAACGAACGACTCGTTTGGACTACAACACATATTTTCCGGGATGTGTGATATCACAAATACCGACGAATGGGACGAGACCTGGTTGAGCTGCACTAGAGAAGGCAACGAGTGTTATCATTATGTCACAGACACGCTAGCTTTCCCAAGGCAGACGAACTTAGAGTGGTTACAATCATCCGGGTTTAAATCGCACTCAAATTGATTTGATTTTGATACAATATTTACACTGAAGCTCGCAGGTGGCTATGGTAAGCGGCATTACATTTCCCGACCAGGCGCCGAGTGCTGCCAATCACAGCACACACTGGCCCAGCTAACCAATCACAGCACATTTCATATTTCAGAAGGCGGGCCTTCATTTGATACAGAACATATTCGAGCCGTTCATGCCAGACTAGGGAGAGAGGTGTTGTAATAATGTAAAATATGTGAAAAATAATGTGTTTTTCGAACAACCTAGTATGAGAGCCTGATCTAGTACACCCCCAAAACAAAATCAAGACTTTGTAAAAGAGCATAATAGGACCCCTTTAAAATGCATCTTTTGAAAACAGCTTATTATTAATAGGATATAAAAAAAACATTGTGGCTTATTTCAGCTGTTATGTAAAGGGTGACAATAGGGTTGATGAAACATGATGGATCTGGTTCAACGCTGTGTTCTGGTTCACAGCTCTGCCTAATGACCTGCTGAGGATCATCAAGTTCACGTTCACTGCATAAGGGAAAACTGATATTCTCCTCCTAGACTGTCACCGCAGGGCATGTCAAGACTTGGTAAAGCAGAGAGAGGGGAAGGTGCGATGGGGAATTGGGGGATTTTGCCTCTGAACTGCTGTCAGGCAGCGGAGATCAGCTTTTCTGGAAGGTTGTGAGAGGGCCTACAATTTCTTGGAACAAAGTCAATGGTGCCTAATGGGAGGGTCAGCTCTCTACAGCTGTAGAAGAGATATGGCTATTGCCAGTGAGGCTGAGAGAACAAAAATGTGTGTGGTGGGACAGAATGGGAAGATGGTAATGTGTGATTACAGCCCACTGACCTCATCTAAGAGGACATACGCTGTAGTGCAAAGAGGAGAGTGAGATTTTTCCTGTCTGAAATAAGGAAGGCCATCTGTGAAAGCCACAGCATGGATAGAGGATTACGGAGAACAACATTTCTCATTACTCACTTGCATAGAAATGCTGTTGAGAATGAGCTCTGCACACATTTGACTGTCTAATTTCTCCCTCGATGTCAGCTAATTAAGGAAATTGTGATCTTCTCCAGCCAGATAATCACAACAAATTAGTTCCAAGCTGCTGAGGTGCTCTATTTTTAAATTGCCGGTGAATATCGTTTGCAGAGGGGAAAAAAAGTGAAGATGAGACTGCTGCCAATTACCTTGGCTGAGCTTATCTCAGACTGTCTTTCTGTAACTTGCACGTAATCCTCTGTTCCACACAGCTATGGACATGCCTATGGACCTCACTGCATTGAATGTTACACCTCAGGGGGCTCTGCTACGTTGGAACCCCCCTGTTTCCAGTGTTGATAGCTACGTGCTCACCCTCACCCGTAACCAAGGTATGTGGAGACCTGATGAAGGGAAACAACTCTGTCAATCTTTTATCAGCATCATTTATCTTTAACAAATGCAGTAGCCATAAATACCAAATGAAATGTAACTATTTGTTTTTCACTGGAAAGATATGCTGCTTATGCTGCAATTTCAGGTCTGAGTGTGGCAGGAAAAAAGCAAAACAGATATGCAAATAGGTCTCACTAAATGGCAATAATAAAATACAATTAACCATATTATCATGCATAGTTGGAATAACAAAATGAATTGGCTTATCGCTTTTTAAAAAGGGTGAAGAGAATGCTTTTTGTTTAATTTGTTTTTTGACATCAAAGATACACATCCAGTCAAACTTTTGCAGTGAATGCATCTGTAACTTGGTAGATGCCAACCAAATTAGGTAGATGCCAACATTGACCAGTTTCTTGGCATCCTCACATATCATTAGCAAATCTGTGCAAGATAGAAATAAATGAATAAATAAACAAATAAAAATACAACCCAGACTAGTTACTACAATGAGGATAAACATGCATTTGTCGATTTTTTTTGAGAGCGTCCAAAAAGTACATTTAAGGGTTGTTCACACAAAGAATGATATGTATAAATATGACTATAACAATAACTATCAGCGTCCACACCAACAGACAATGTTCTGTTTATTATAAGCATATGCATAGTTATGTCATCTGCCGCTTTAAACAAGGATGGATTCTGTTTGGCTGTCAATGTATTTATTGTTCATCAGCTTGAAAAAAAAAGGTTTGTTGTAGTGTGGACATCACCAATCTCACATAATTAGAATGATTATTAAAACTTTATAGTTACAGCTATCATTATACTTGTCACCTTTGGTGTGAACATCCCTTTAGAAACCAAAATTGTCATTTGTGGTAATAGTTGTTTATTTTGGTGGTCCAATGCAGTTCACAGTAATAGGGTGTAAGGGAAACAGGTACATTTAGCTTTAAGGGAATTAATTATGATTTTTATAGGGAATTTTGACAGAATCTCTGTTTTACTGCTGATCAACTGAATCGGCCAGTGAATTAACTGAAAGTTTGTGTCATATTTCACTGTTTTAATTCATTTTGAGGAACACTGAATTGGTAAATGCATGTTCACATTTAGTCTAGAACTGCAGTAACCATCATGTTTACACAGCGCACACAACGCCTCTGCACTTACTTCCTATTTCTCTCAACATGGGAACAGGAGAGCTGTCAGTCAATAAATGGGAAACAAATTTGATTTTCATTTATAATGCATTTTTCTCCGTATTATTGAAATGCAAATTGAAAATAAATAGGTTTATACATTTTTGCATACAAACTGGCAGTTCTTCACTTGTTTTTGCACTAATGGATGTTATCTTTCCAGTTATGGCAGACACCTTCTTAGTGGAGGGTAACAAGCAGGAGTACCAGCTGAGTCAGCTCATCCCCAGCACCACCTACTCAGTGGCTCTTTATGCTTCTAAAGGTCCTCTCACCAGTGGCACTGTCATCGCCAACTTTGTCACACGTAAGTGCATCATCTCTGTTCCCTGTGTTCTAATTACAGGGGGGCTCGAGGAGGTCAAGACCCCCTAGTTCCAGTTATATTCCCCTCGTTATCTCAAAACTGGCCTAATGACCTTTACAGCAGTTGCTGAGGAAGGTAAGAGTTCAGGTAAAGAAGTACAGGAGGATCCAAGAACAGAGTCCAAACAAAAGAGAAAGAGTATCCTCTTTTATCACTGCATTAGCCATGTGACTAAACCAAACCTGAGACATTCAAAGTGATACATTAGATAATGGTTAAATATAGCACTGGGGGTCAAGACAAGAAAGTTTTAAAAGGTTGGAGTGTCCTGCTGTTTTTGTTGTACTTTCACTATGAATGACTTTTCACTAAGGTTTTATTTGTGTATACACAAACTTTTTTTTTTTTCTGAAAGAAAATTATACTTTTATTCAGCAAGGACACCTTAAAAGTGATCAAAAGTAACAGTAAATACATTTATAGTGTCACAAATTATTTCTATTTTTTTAAATAAATGCTGTTTATTTCTATTTTAAAATAAATGCTGTTCATCAAATCCTCAAAAAAATGCATCATTGTTTCCGCAAAGATACCATGCAGTACTGTTTTTAACATTGATAATAATAGGGAATGTTTATTGAAGTCAACATGAAGAATGAAGAATGATTTCTGAAGGATCATGTGACACTGAAGACTGGAGTAATGGCTGCTGAAAATGCAGCTTTGGCATCACATAAATAAATTATATTTTAAAATATCTAAAATAAATGTAGCTATGGTGAGCATTACAGAAAAACATAGATTTAAAAAAATCCCCCAATCCCCCAACCCCAAATTGTAATGTAGCTGAAAGTGCTATGCATTGACTGGCAGAGGTAACTAGTTTACTACTAGTTTAGTAGCCAAAACCATTCAAGGAACAGATTAACTGTAGCACTAATATAGTAGGATATTTATTTACTGTACATCACTGTCAATGAACCCAGAAATATCATTTGAATACTGGGAAGGAGTGATGTTTTTATAACTATCAAATCATAGTATTTTTCACTTTAGTGCCATGTTTCTCGAACCTGCTGCTGATGGCCTACATTTTAGGTGATTCACTAACCTGATGCACCCTCACAATGTCTCCAGGTCATGGAGCTCTGTACTAATGAGCTGGTGAGTTGAATCAGACACCCAAAATGTGCTAAAGTGAACAGGATTGAGAAACACTGGTTAAATGGCAAAGTTGCTGATTTCATTTCAGTATTATCTACAACTTGTTACACACATTTCCAGTATTTAAATTTGATTGGACAACCAGCGTCCCAAGAGTGGTGATATTTAACCTATGGTTACGCATTACCTGCAGGCGTGAACACATTCGGTAAAACAGCACTCATGCTTGAATATCCAATAGACAGCTGCAAGGTTAAGCACTTCTCTAATTGTACTATCATCTTCTTCTAGTTTAGCAGAGGTGAGATTCAGATGTGAAGCAGAAACAAGGCCGTGACTTTATTTTTGTAGTTTGTGTAACAAAATCCTGATGTCAGCAATGCTCCAATTCCCATGTGAGAACAGAGAAGAGATCAGCATCACTACCCATCTTTCCTCACCGTGAGGCTGTCCGCAGAGAGAGGCGAACTGTCTTTCCCACACAGAAGACTGAACTAGAACAAGCTGCGGTTTCATTACGAGCTGCTTTATTCTGCATTGAAACTTTCAAGGCAGACCGCTTTCAGATGCATTAGACCTCAACTTTAATCAAATGGCCCTCCCAGAATACTTCATTAGTTTGGATTGTTTAGAGGAAATTAATTTGCACATAAAAGTGTCACAGGCCATTGGCTTTGCAACCTCAGTACCAGCTCAGTGACGTGCATAATCTTGACACATAATCGCTTGATGAGGTTTGTTGTGTTCATTTGCCTTCAAACTTTTTTTTTCAGCTTCTTAATGACAATTTCATTCGGAGATAGTTCTGCTCTAATAACAGTGGATTTAGATCCTGCCATGCTCTGATAAAAATGTTTCATTGCCTGCAATGCCTGAAAAAACTTCCCTGAAATTACCATCCTGCGGTGTTTAAGAATCTGCCAGCTCCCACCCTGAGGGAGGTGAAGTGTCAGAGATGCATCATTTTGGCATTTATGAGGAGGCTTATGGAAGCTTAAGGGGATAATTAAGATTACAACAACTAACAAATTTCATGCCGATTTCAGGATTAGTGCTGTCTGTCATTTTGATTTAGATTACAGTTCTAACTTCATCGTTAAAGAGATTAAGGTGAGGACAGGAATATGAATATGTTGCTCAGATATGCACATGAACATCTCTCCATTTCTCCACGGTTGTATTTCATTCTCGATAGGTGCATTTGGTTAGTTTGCCTGCTCAGTCAGTTTAAAGGGGTCATATGATGTTGCTAAAAAGAACATTATTTTGTGTATTTGGTGTAATGAAATGTGTTTATGCGGTTTAAGGTTCAAAAAACAAATTATTTTCAACATACTGTACATTATTGTTTCTCCTCTATGCCCGGCCTTTTTGAAACGCGTCGATTTTTACAAAGCTAATCGGTCTGAAAAGCGAGGTGTGCTATGATTGGCCAGATATCTAATGCGTTGTGATTGGCCGAATACCTCAAGCGTGAGACGGAAATGTTACGCCCCTCACCATACTGTGATGCCCTGTCCGATCCGGCGATCCACAGCGCGAAGTTGATGTATTTCTTCAGCGACCAGCACGGATCAGCTCCAGGTATGACGAAGCAGATATCGTCCTCTTTTGGAAGGCCAAATAAAGTAGTTTTGCTTTCACAACAAAACAACAGCATCTGCACGACATGGCGGCGGCTGCAACAACAATACTACAGCGAGAATAAAAGTTACGCCTTCTTTCTTTGCGTGAACATTTGGGCGGCGTTATGCAAATCTTCCCACATCGTGACGTAGACATGTGGGGGCGTGTTAGAACGAGTCGTTTTAGGTAGGCGTGGTTGACTCTTAACTTTTATAAAGAATATCTCTTTGGATTTGAGACTTTAGTCTTTGCAACTTTACATATCTTCTTTATGCACCAAGAGCTTGTAACATTCCAAAGAGAAAGGAAAAATTGAAATCGCATCATATGACCCCTTTAAAGTAATGAGAAATCAAGGGCAGAATTTAGACGAATCTGTTAAAACATTTTGAACATTTTATATATATATATAAATACCATTCAACAGTTTGGGTTGGTAAGATTTTTTAATGTTTTTTGAAAGAAGTCTCTTATGCTTGCTAAAGCTGCATTTATATAAAAAATACAGTAAAACGGTAATATTGTTAAATATTCTTACATTTAAAATGTTTTTATTTTAATATATTTTTGAATGTAATTTATTCCTTTTTATTTTCATCAGCTATTACTCCAGTCTTCAGTGTCATTTCAATCTTTGCAAATCACTCTAATATGCTCAAGAATCATTTCTTATTATCAATGTTGAAAACAGTTTTGCTGCTTAATACATTTCTCAGTATTTGTTGGTGGATTTATTTGAAATGGAAATCTTTTGTAACATTTTTGGACTATTATAAATGTCTTTATTTTTTTTACTTTTACTTTATTGTGCATGTGAGCAGAAATGCAGAATGACATTTTTAATAAAAATCGCTCTACTAACAAGAAACGTGCCAGAAATGTGATCTTATAAATTGCACAAAATTTCAACAACATGGAAAACTGACGTTTGTCATATTTTATACATAGTCAGCTCAATAGTTATGTATATGTGATATAGCACATATATATATGTGATATAATACTGGGTCTCACTGTGTATATAATATTGGGTCTCACATGTATGCTTGTGTTTAAAACCAGAATGACTTTTCATATATATATAAATAATATGTTCTGATATGATTTTCTACACCTCCATAACGCTGTGATAGTTTTGTATGTTTCTTATTAAAATGTTGTCTTGCCTGCCTGTGCAACAAAACAGTTCATATCTAAGACATTTCATACTTTCAATTCCAGAGAATGAGAGGTAGGATCTGAGCAGGAGATCTGTATTTTTTTAACACACTGAAGAAGAAAAAAAACAATACATCTTGTTTTTTGCACATAGACAGCTGATGATGGCTTTTGAAGACATGGAAAAGAAGCATCAGCATTTGTAGTATGAAAGGAAAGTGTGTGTGTGTTGAGGTTGTGTGCTGACGCTCTGCTGGAGGAAGAGTGGCATGTTGACTGATAAGAGATCACATTGAGAGACAGGACGCCGGTGAACACACACTAATTGTCTTCTCTCTGAAGTGGATCTGTCACTGTGTCTGAAACATACACTACACGCAACCATGTGATTTATTTTGTCCTCAGTGTTACAAAGGATATCTATTTCAATATTTTTTTTTTTTGCTGTTCTTCTGAACTTTCTATTCATCAAAGGTTCCTGAAAAAGCAGATCATAGTTTCCTCAAAATTAAGCAGCACAACTGTCTTCAACATTGATAATAAGAAATGTTTCTTGAAAACCAAATCAGCATATTAGAATGATTTCTGAAGGATCATGTGAACCTGAAGACTGGAGTAATGATGCTGAAAATTCAGGACTAGCGACCAGTTAACATGCCTCCAGCAGGTGTGCTGACTCAGCTCCAAACATACACACTATACACAGACAATAGCATCAGATAAAGAAAAAACAGCTGAATGTCAGGTGGGGGATGGTCAGTTTAAACATGCTCTGTTCGTGTAGCTTGTCGGTTTAAACCAAGCAGGTCTGAAATACCTGTAGTTTATTAATAGCTATAATCTGTTAGCATTCCCATTCATCTCTAGCATTTTCTGGGTATAAGACCCCTGTGAAACCTGCCGTCTTTGCTCATGATTGCTGGAACCAGGTTGTTTTGAGCCTCAGCCATAAATTCCAAGTGACTAAAACAAAACAAATCAATAAATAAAGCACTTCCAGCATATTAGAATGATTTCTGATTGATCATGTGACAATGCTGAAAATGCGACTTTGACATAAAAGGAATTACATTTTAAAATAATAAAATAGCAAACAGTTATTTTAAATTGTATATTTACAGTATTACTGTTTTGATCAAATAAATGCAGCTTTGGTGAGCAGAATGTATACACACACGTGGCAGAAACGTTTGCAAGTAAGCTAAAACATTGTACATAAATTCAACATAGAAAATTCATGTTTTAAATTGACGTGTCATATTTTATTATATACATTGTCAGCCACCAAGAAAACACACACAATAAACAAAATATACACTCAATAAACAAACGTAATCAAGTAAATATTATTATCTGACCAAAAAACATTTACTGTAAACCATGTTTTTGAATCTATGTATCCAGTAGACTTCTTTACAGTCATTTAAGAAGTTAAGCCTATGTAGTGTAATGTTGCTTGAAAACCTGGTAATGGGACTTTAGTCTCTTTAATCTTTGTTTAAACAGCCATGGATGCGCCACAGAACCTGACAGCTAGTGAGATTAACCATCGAAGCGCCCTCATATCCTGGCAGCCGCCCATCGCAGACATCGATAACTACATGCTGACCTACAAAGCAGCGGATGGCAGTCGAAAGGCAAGCACAATATGGATTTTACCTTGAGCAATGAATACAGCTGGAAGTGTTATAAATAAATATACATGCTTGCTGTGTAAACATTTTTAAACTTGATTGTTCATATTTCTATGCTCATTGCAATTCAGAATTAAACTGTACTTGATGTACAGCCTGAACTTATAATAACTTTACGATCTAACATAAACCACTTCCCACAGAGATCAACCATCTAAGGGAGCTGTTAGATCTTCCTATCGGAATAGCTCAGTTTAATTAAATTCTTTGATGTTGTTCATTAATATTAATGAAATCATTTAACAAAGTCATTCCAGACACAATATGCCTATTAAAGACTTCCCTGAAATAATTTCTCTGAAATGATACAGTAGATACAGTATCTATTTCAAATAATTACATTACTTGTAATGCATGATCACTGTCCTATAATCTGTTTTGGACATGAGCCTGATGGGAAAATGCAATGATGATAATGTTGGAAATACAAAAGGTTATGGATTATAATCTTTAGATTTATGTTATACACAGAGACACACAATCAATGCAACACAGACCGCTCTGACCTAGTAGCCCACTGTTAGTGTTTGTATCTGTCCAGTGGGTGTCAGTGGTGCACAGATGATATAAACCCAGCTGATGCATCTTAGACGTAAAAGCTTTCTCTTTCCATTCTCTTTCCAGCCAGGTTGGCATCTAATGCTGAGAGTTTTGATAATAACAGGCAATTTGGGAAATTTTCAAAGACTTAGAATGCGTAATAATAGAAATAATACAGTTTCTGCATCCACCATGTGTTGCCTCAACCTGTATTTCAGATTCAGGGTTGTGAAAGAATCAAGATGAGAACATAAAAATGGGTTCCACACTGCTACAGATAGCAGCTTCCCTATTACAATTACCTGCTCAATATCCTCTGCATACAGAGCAACCTTGATGCGACTTCATTAAAACACTACTGTGCTGCATAATTCACATTACACGTTGCTTAAAATGTGACGTTTCCTGGAAAAGGATGACTATTGAATCAAACGTTTCATATTTCATACACCTCAAGGTCACATGTACCATCGTCCATTCAGGTCCCTGGTGAATCCTCAGAGTAAAAAGTCTGAAAAGGCACAAAAATGTATGGCAGATTAGTTCGATAAAAAGAGGGGAAGTGAACTGTCATGAGCCGAAAACCAAAATAGAAATGGCTTCTCTCCCCAGTAGCACCAGGGCCTGATAAGACTCTTCCTCCCCCATCATGCGCTTTAGAGCTGCCAATCATAGTGTAGAAAAACACAGGGAGGAAAGGCAGCATTGTATGAAAAGCACCCAACAGTAGCAGCTTGGGATCACAACAATTTGTCAGACAGTTCCTAAAGTGATTGTGATCTGTTTTCTGTTTGTTTTTGAGGAATATCTTTCCTACCCACAATGCAAAGAGCGGCTGTTCTTTGTACTATCTCTTGGTATGTTTTCCACAAAACCGCTCTGCTGCTGAGCAGTTCTTTGTTTAGTTTTGGTCTACGGTGTTTGAACAGAGGTAATGTACTAATGCCTCTCCATGCCTGCTGATCAGTAGACTGTGTTTGATTGTGTTTTAGGAGCTGATCTTAGATGCTGAAGACACATGGATCCGTCTCGAGGGGCTGGCGGAGACCACCGAATATACTGTGAGACTGCAAGCCGCTAGAGGAATAGAGACCAGCGCCATTGTTTCTACATCTTTCACAACAGGTGCAAATCTTCCACATCTCCTGTAGACTTCAGATCGGGTTCACTCACCTCATTAGGTACAAATTCACACTATCGCCCCGTCAGCGTTATCAAGTACAAATCAGTAGCGACACCTTCAAGGCATCTGTGTGCATCCCTCATTTATTGCCTTGTGTTTCTGTGATTTTACAAGCACCCAACTTCCAAAGATAGCGTTTCATAACATCAACAAATTCACACTCCATTGTCATGGCAGCGATGCAAATCACCACTCATTAACCTCCCAGTGGCCCCTCGCATTCTTTTGCTCTGTTGTTTTGGATATTTCTCAACCCTTTTCCTCTTCAGGAAACCGATTATTTCCCACGCCACAGAACTGTGCGCAACACCTCCTGAACGGAGAGACGCTGAGCGGAATTTACACCATCTACATCAACAGAGACCTCAGCCAAGGTGTGCAGGTTTACTGCGACATGACCACCGACGGAGGCGGCTGGATAGTGAGTGAGAGATCTGACTATCACATCTGAGTCTGTCTGTATTGTACTGTACGTCTGGCACAATATATGATTTACACAAAATCCCACAATGCCACATTATAGGACTGGCCCTTGTTGAAAAGACAAGCTTGGACCAGTGTTCATTTTCAGTGCTGGCATAACCAATGCTGTTCACAAGCTAGATGATCAGCATGCTTTTTCTGGTGATTCAGGTTAACCAACCAAATCTTAAGGTAGGTGAGGATTTGGTGTCAACACCAGGGCAACTACATCCATCCAAAATCAACTTTTTGCTAGGTCTGTCAGGCAGGTGAATTGAGAAAACGTACGGGCCATAAAAACGTCGTACCGGCCAAAAAACTGTAGTAATGTAAAATATAAAAACTGAAAATAATTGTATTAATAAAATCAATTACTAATTATATAAAAAATTATATTTTTGTAACTATGGTTGTTATTAATTATAATTATTATTTAGCTATTTTTATTTTATTTTATTTTTTATTGTAATTATTTGGTTAAATTTATTCATTTATGTATTTATTATCTATGCATTTATTTTATTATTTAGACATTTTTAGCATATACAAGATAATATTTTTATTGTCACAAACAAGATAAGCCAATCTCTACCAATCACTGAAAGCACATGGAGGTCTGGAGAAAAAATCAACTTATGATAAATGTTTCCACTGAAGAAAAATGTATTGAGTTTCTTTCATAGTGGGTATAGAAAAGAATCAATCCCCTTTAAATGAATCACATTTTGTTGCTTTGCAGCCTGAGATGAAGACGGACACAGTTTTTGTTTTATCCAAATGTATTTACTCAATGCAACTTATAACATCCAAGTGAAAGATATAACACCAACATGTCAGAAAAAATAAAAATAAAAAAATAAAACAGAATCACTGAGTTGTAAAAAGGATCACCCCCTTGTGTCAGTATTTTGTTGAACCACCTTTTGTTTTAATTACAGTCTTTAGTCTGTTGGGATTTGTCTCTGTCTCTACTAAGTTTGCACATCTAGACTTTGCGATATTTGCCCACTTTTCATTGCAGAACTGCTCAAGTTCAGTTCAATTTGATGGTGAGTGTTTGTGGACTGCAGTCTTCAATTCATTCCACAGATTTTCAATGGGGTTTAAGTCTGGGCTCTGACTAGGCCATGCAAGGACATCCACCTTTTTCTCCTTCAGCCACTGTGTGGTCAGATTTGTTGTGTGCTTTGGGTCATTGACATGTTAGAAGGTAAACCTTCTTCCCATTGACAACTTTCTGGCAGAGGGCAGCAGATTTTCCAAGAATTTGACAGTATTTTGCCCCATCCATTTTTCCTTCTATCCTGATAAGTGCTCCAGTCCCTGCTGCAGAGAAACACCCCAGAACAGGACATTACCACCTCCATGCTTTACTGGAGGAATGCTGTTATTTGGATGGTGAGC